CGGCTCTTCTTATTTCATTACGTCCCTGGCGCCCCCTCTGGGCCGCGCACATGCCGCCGGTCATGATTTGCACCCCCCCCTGTTGGACCCCCCCCCTCTTAGCCGCTCCCGAAAAGCGGCTCCAAGTCGCTTCTGCTCGTGCGCCGCCCTTTGCACTTAACCCTACCCCCGCAGGCAGCTATCCTAGACATCAGTTTGCCTGCCACGGATTTTACCCACGGGTTCGGCGATCTTTGCGTGCGAGGTCCCTTGTCCCGAAAGGCCGCCCAGGCCCTCGGGGTCGCCCTGCGGGTCCCCAAGGCGCTCCGAGACGGCTCCAGGGGGTCCCAAGATGCCCCCAGACGGCCCCAAGACGGCTCAGCGACGCTCCCGAGGGCGTCTGGACGCCCCAAGAGGATCCCAAGTCAGCTATAGCGCTGGGACGAGCGCGTGCGAGATGGGCGGGCAGTGCCAAGCTATCGGACCATGTGTTCCCCGAATCGGTTTGGAAACCGTTTGGGAAACACGGTGGGGGAGGAGGAAGGAGAGGAGAGTGAGGAAAAAGGAGAAGGGAAGAGGAGGCCTGTTGGGAGCCTCTTGGGCGATTTTATGGTTTTTTCATTACCTAGGCTCTGCCTAGAAGGGTTCTTACCTCGTAGCTTAAAGGGCCGGGCAGTGGGGCACGCCCCGGGGGGTTTCCCCAGTATCCGCCCCGCGGTTCCCCCAGTGACGTTCCCTTAGCTTCGCGTTGCTTATCTCTTATTAGCTTAGCTTATTTCATGTTACCTTAGCTTAGCTTCATCCTACCTCAGTTTTATATTAGCTTAGCTGACCTTCATCTTAGCTTCGCTGAGCTTTAGTATAGAAGAGCACAGCATAGCATAGCGTAGCGCAGCATAGCATAGCGAAGCATCGCATATCATAGCATGAGTGTAATTCCCGACCTAGGCTCTGCTTAGAGGGCTAGCTTAGCTTAGCTTAGTTTAGCTTAGTTCCCTACCTAGGCTCTGCCTAGAAAGGTTCTTACTCTGTGTGCTTAAAGGGCTGGGCATTGGGGCACGCCCCAGGCGGTTCCCCCGGCATCCGCCCCGCGGTTCCCCTAGTGACGTTCCCTCAGCTTCGCGTTGCTTATCTCATCTTAACGTAACCTAGCTTAACTTAGCTTAGCTTCGCTTAGCTTAGCTTAGCCTAGCCTAGCTTAGCTTAGCTTAGCTTAGTTTAGCCTAGCCTAGCCTAGCTTAGCTTAGCTTAGCGCAGCATTATCATGACATGGCATAGCATATCATCGTATAACATAGCATATCATAGCATAACATGGCGCAGCATAGCATAGCGCAGCATTTCATAGCATAGCATAGCATAGCACAGCATAGCATAGCATAGCATCGCTTAGCTTAGCATAGCACAGCGCAGCATAGCGTATCATAGCATAGCATAGCATCGCATAGCACAGCATAGCATAACATATCATATGTGTAGATGTAGATGTAGAGGTGTATGTGCATGTAGGTGTAGATGGAGGTTTAGATGTATATGTAAATGTGAGTGTAGTTGTACATGACGATGTAGCTGTAGATGCATGTGTACATGTAGATGGTGATGCAGGTGTAGATGTGGATGTGGGTCTAGATGTAGATGTAGGTATTAAGCTGTACTATCACTACTACTACTACTACTACTGCTACTACTACTGTTACGACTGCTACTACTACTACTACTACTACTACTACTACTACTACGACTACGACTACGACTACGACTACGACTACGACTACTACTACTACTACTACTGCTACTACTACTACTATTACTACTACTACTACTACGACTACTACGACTACTAATACTACTACTACTACTACGACTACTACTACCACTACTACTACTACTAACTAACTACTCTACTGTCTACTAATACGAGACTACTACTACTACCCTAACTACGACTACTACTCCTACTGAACTATACTACTACGTGAACCACTACTAACTACGTACTACTTACTACCACCAACATACACATACTCCTACTATAACACTACTATACTACTACTAACTACTACTACTCCTATACTAACTACTTGTCTACTACTCGACTAATACTAAATCCTACTACGATACTACACTACTACTACTACTACTACTACTACTACTCTACATTACTCCACTACTACTACTACTACTACTACACTACTACTACTACGAACTACTACTAACGAACTACTACTAACTACTAACTACGACGACGACTACTACTACTACTACTACTATATACTACTACTATATACTACTACTACTACTACTACTACTACTACTACTACTACTACTACTACTACTACTACTACTACTACTACTACTACTACTACTACTATTACTACTACTACTACTACTACTACTACTACTACTACTACTACTACTAACCACTACTGCTACTGCTACTGCTACTGCTACTGCTACTACTGCTACTGCTACTACTGCTACTACTCCTACTACTACTACTACTACTACTACTACTACTACTACTACTACTACTACTACTACTACTACTACTACTACTAAACTACTACTACTACTACTACTACTACTACTACTACTACTACTACTACTACTACTACTACTACTACTACTACTACTACTACGACTACTCCTACTACTACATACTCCTACTCCTACTCCTACTCCTACTACTACTACTACTACTACTACTACTACTACTACTACTACTTACTACTACTCTACTACTACGACTGCTACTACTACATACTACTACTACTACTACTAAACTATCAACCTAACTATGACCTACTACTACTACTCTACTATACTACTACTAACTAATGCTACTACTACTACTACTACTACTACTACTACTACTACTACTACTACTACTACTACTACTACTACTACTACTACTACTACTACTACTACTACTACTACTACTACTACTACTACTACTACTACTACTACTACTACTACTACTACTACTACTACTACTACTACTACTGCTGCTGCTGCTGCTGCTGCTGCTACTACTACTACTTCTACCGCTACTGCTACAATTGCGACGATGAGGAGAAGGAGGGGGACGGCGTTTACCGTTACTACTAATATTGCTCTCTTCGGGGCTCCAACTCGTAGGTAGGGCCGCTCCGGGATAATTTTATTGGGCCACCCTTGCCGTCTTGGAGGCATATTGGGGCAGTCTTGGAAGCCACTCTGGGGTTATATTGGGGCTTCATGTGGCCATCTAGATGATCTTGTACGCATCTTGGAGGCCATCTTCGGCCACGTTGGCCGTCTTGGAGGCGTCTTGGAGGCCGTCTGTTGGCCCGAATGCATCGAGTGCGCCTGGCGGTACCACCTATTCCCCTCGCAAGTGGTCGTGGTTCACGGGTCAGCCTTAGTGTTTCTTATAACGCTGAGATCAGCGCGTGCGAGAAGGGTGAGCAGTGGCAGCGGGCACTGGCGCTGCTGAGCGAAATGCGGGAGGCAAAGCTTGAGCCCAACGTCACCTGTTCTCAATTGCAGGCCGCCGCGCGTGCCATAATGGTTTTGCATCAAGAGAGCGCCGGATCCGCAGAAGAGCTCTCCAAGGAGGCCAGAATGAGGGAGGAGGAGGAGGAGGAGGAGGAGGAGGAGGAGGAGGAGGAGGAGGAGTGGATTCTGGCAGGGCTGCCTGCATGGCGGGGGAGGGGGTGGCCGTGGCGCGGCCCGAGAGGAGGCCCCAAGGCTTCCGCAGAGCGGGCCCCCGTGCCCCGGGACCCCCCGAGGGACGGCTCCAAGATGACCCTCGCACCGCCCCAGACCGTCCCTGGCGCCCCCCCCCCCCCCCCACAACAGCACCCGGAGGCCCCGAGGGACATCCAGATGGCCCCCGGAGGCGCGGGCGGGACGGCTCCAGAGATGCTTCACGGAGACCCCAGGTGGCTCCCAGACAGCCCAACGGGTGCCCCGCCAGGCCCGGCACGGCACAGGCAGGCCCATGGGTGCACGGCCGGCCCAAAGCTCGGGGGCGGAAAAGAGGGGGGTGATGACTAGGGCGGGGGGGGAGATCATGGCGGGGGTCATGTTATTCCCCCAGATTTCATGGCGGCTCTTCTTATTTCATTACGTCCCTGGCGCCCCCTCTGGGCCGCGCACATGCCGCCGGTCATGATTTGCACCCCCCCCTGTTGGACCCCCCCCCTCTTAGCCGCTCCCGAAAAGCGGCTCCAAGTCGCTTCTGCTCGTGCGCCGCCCTTTGCACTTAACCCTACCCCCGCAGGCAGCTATCCTAGACATCAGTTTGCCTGCCACGGATTTTACCCACGGGTTCGGCGATCTTTGCGTGCGAGGTCCCTTGTCCCGAAAGGCCGCCCAGGCCCTCGGGGTCGCCCTGCGGGTCCCCAGGGCGCTCCGAGACGGCTCCAGGGGGTCCCAAGATGCCCCAAGACGGCCCCAAGACGGCTCAGCGACGCTCCCGAGGGCGTCTGGACGCCCCAAGAGGATCCCAAGTCAGCTATAGCGCTGGGACGAGCGCGTGCGAGAAGGGCGGGCAGTGGCAACGGGCGCTGGCGCTGCTGAGCGAGACGCGGGGGGCGAAGCTGGAGGCCAACTCTATCTCTTCTGCAATTTCGCATGCAACGCCTGGGAGGTCAGATCCTGTTTTTGCCCCGGTCCGAAATCCGGCTTCATCCGGCTGGATCCCGCTTCATCCAGCTGGATCCCGCTCAACCCCGCTTAGTCCGGCGGATTCCGAGGCCCACTCCGGCATATCAGCCCCCCCCATGGGGGCTTACTCCTCTTGAACCTTTCTGACGAGCACCTCCCAGTAGTTTCGGGGGTGGACAGAACCCCCAACAATGACACGTCGATTAGTGAATTGTCCGTTTTCGGTTTTCGAGAGGGCGCCGTGGCCGTTATTTTCCAGGCTTGCGCCCGCCAGGTTTGGGCCTCAGGTCGTTTTCACTAAACCACGTTTTACTAAAGGGGGATCTGTCCATCCCCGATAGTTGCCTCCCAATGCAATGCCGCGGCCCCGCGCGCGCCAGAGCCCGGGCGTGGCATCCAGGGCGCGGCGGAACCTCCTCCGGCCGCGGCCGCGGCCGCGGCCGTGGCTGCGGCGGCTGGGAGGGGGGAGCTATCGCGAATTGTTCGCGATGGTGGTGCGTGCGTGTGTGTGTCTGTCTCAACTGAACTCGAGCTGTGGGCAAGCCAAGGAGGAGGCTTGTTTGGGAGCTCAGAGGTATCCCAGGAGCCAGGCCGGGCGCGGGGCAGTCCTGAGAGCCCCTGCGTGCCCAGGTGGGCCGCCGCGTGCCCGTCGGTCGTTGCAGGGAGGTGTTTTGGGATGCTCAGGCTCTAGTCGACTTTAGCCCTACGTTAGACTTGTCCCTCTACAGGAGGGGTGTTAAAAAAACAGCCCAAAGATAGTATGGTGACGTTTCTTTTTAGTATGTTTGATTCTGTTTGGACTCTGTTTTGGTTATTTTTTGCTTTGCGTCCAACATCCCCCGGTAGGGGGACACGCCGGACCAAATTTTCGCCGCCTTCCCACCTCAAGAGTCGAGTGGCTTTCCCTGCTCCCTCTTCCTCGGGGGGCGGGCAGGGACCCACTCTCCTCCCACCGCCTTCCTACTTCATGTCTCCACCTGCTTCTCCCGACCGACGGGTACAGGAACGCTGGGCTTTCAAGTTCGGCCGCGCGCAGAGGGGGGTCGGGGGAGGGGGGAGGGCTTCTCAGAAGCACCCCTGCTTCTAAGAAATCCTCCCCCCGCCCCTCACCCCCTTGTGCGCGCCGCCCACAGGTGGCTTAAAGACGGCCCAGCGGGTCCCTGCGCCTGGGCCCCCTCGCGTCGCTCCGAACGGCCCAGGGGAGCCCCAACAGTTTCGTTGCAAGACGCTCCCAGAAAGGCGCCCGCCCGCCCACGGTGGCTCCAAGCTCCAGAGAGCTCGAACACACTCGAGGAATGCCCAGAGGGGCTCAAGGGGACCCAACAGCCCTCGAACACGCCGTCAGGCGCCTCTAAGAGCACCCTGGAGAGCGCCGCCAGGAGCAAACAACCAGCGAAAACAATTGAATGTCCTAGAGTTTTCAAATGATTTCGGCCCGCCCGCGTTTTTAGGACTCAGCGAGCCCAGGACGGCCCAAGAAGTTCTCGAGACGGCCGACCCCCCTCCCTCGACTGTGATTGTTTGCTCCCCGCTTCTCGGTCCACTCACGTGCTGCATTGGTACAGAGAAGCAGCTCTCTGCAGCCTCAAGCAGAGGCGAACAGCAGCTGTCCGCAGCGAGCATTTGCATCACACAGCAAACGTGATTAAGCATCAGCAACGCGCCGCAGGCAGCAACACCCTGGAGCTGCAGGCAGCAACAGCAGAGGCGAAGTTCGGGCCCAACTTCATCACGAAAGTCTGACGGCATTATCTTCGCTCTGGCCCAACGTGCCATCTCGAACAGATGTCATGGACAGGTGGCCACGGGTCAGCACTAGTCTCTTCTACAATGCAGCGATCCTTATGTGCGAGAAGGTCCTCCTTCCCGAAAGGCAGCCCAGGGCCTCCGGTCCGCCCTGCGAGTCCCCCGGGCGCTCCGAGACGGCTCCGGGGGGTCCCAAGATGCCCCAAGACGGCCCCAAGACGGCTCAGAAGTGCTCAAAAGGGCGTCTGGACGCCCCAAGAGGACCCCAAGCAAGCCCCAGGATGGTCCTGGGGCTCCTGGCCTCAAAGGCAGGCCAGGAGGCTCCCGAGACGGCCCAGGAGGACCCCCAGGAGAGCCCCAACAGGATATTAGTTTTCTCCGTGCGCACAGTCTCCAAGGCGGATGCACAGGCCCCCAAGATCGCCCCAAGACGCCCCCAGACGCCCCCAGGAGGCTTCAAAACACCCCAAGACAGCCCCAATAGTGCCCAATAACGGCCCAAGATGGCCCCAAGACGGCCCCAAGATGGCCCCAAGATGGCCCGAGAGGCGCCCACTACCGGCCCAAGATGGCCCCAAGTCGGCCCAAGAGGCACCCAAGACGGCCCAAGAGGGTCCCGAGAGACCCCCAGGAGAACGAAAAAAGGCCCACAAGCGGCCCCCAAGTGGCCTTGGATGCTTGTCTTTCGGGAAGCGTCGACCATTGACGATCGAAGATCGAGGCGATGAAGAATCGAGGGGAGGAGGAGGAGAAGGAGGAGGAGGAGGAGGAGGAGGAGGAGGAGGAGGAGGAGGAGGATAAGAAGGAGCAAATCGACGCGATGACGAATCGAGCAGAGGAGGAGGAGGAGGAGGACGAGGAGGAGGAGGAGGAGGAGGAGGAGGAGGAGGAGGAGGAGGAGGAGGAAGAGGAGGAGCAGGAGGAGCACGCCCAAAATGGCCCTAAAAGCGAAAAGCCGATATGCGCCACCGAGATGTCCCGAGCATGACTAGACGGCTCCTAACGAAGATCGACGCGATGAAGGATCCAGGGGAGGACGAGGAGAGCGCCCAAAATGTGTCAAAAGCCGAAAGGAGCCGCAGAGATGTCCCGAGCATGCCCCGAAGAGTGCCCCAAGAGTGTCCAGACACCGCGAGCAGGCTCCTAGCGCGCAGCCCAGCATCCTCTCGGTGATCCTCCCATGCACTGGGCGCCTGAGCGGCCCCGGTGCGGAGTCCACACCATGTCGGGCAGATTCCGCGGCCGGAAGGCCGCGGGTCAGCCCTATAGTCTCGTATCTGTGGTCGGCGCCGGCACCAGCGCGTACGGGAAGGGGCAGTTGCCAGGTGTGCGAAGTCGGCCTCGGCGGGGCCCTGCCACGCCCCCGGCGCCCGGGCGCGCCTCCGGGCGGGCCCAGCGCGCCTCCTCCTCCTCCTCCTCCTCCTCCTCCTCCTCCTTCTCCTCCTCCTCCTCGTCCTCCTCGTCCTCCTCCCGTCAGAACGCCTCCAGGGAGCGCCGACGTGCGCCCCAGACGCCCCCGAGACGGTTTCAGGACGTTCAGACGTGCTTCCAGACGGCCCAAGAGGCTTCCAAGACCCTCCAAGTGACGTCCCCGAGGGCTCCCTGTAGCAAAAATCATACCAATTCAAGTCTCAGAGGAAGCGCACAATTTTAACATATTCGCTTTCCTCGTGTTCACGGAGCCCACGACGGCCATACAGTACAGGCCTCCAAGATCGCCCCAAGACGCCCCAAGAGGGCCTCCAAGAGGCAGCCAGGACATCCCGACAGGGCTCGAAGAGCGGCCCAAGACGGGCCTGAGACGGCCCAAGAGGCGCCCAAGCATCCCCAAGAGGCCGGTAAGAGACCCAAAGGAGACCATCAAGCCCTTCAAAGAGACGTCCAACAGGCCTCCCAGAAGCAAAAGTCGTCCCAATCCGAAGGGAACACGCACAATGTTCATAGTTTCGCTTTCCTCGTGCTCACGGCGCCCACGACGGCCATACAGGCCCCCAAGATCGCCCCAAGACACCCCAAGAGTGCCTCCAGGGGGCCCCAGGACGGTCCAAGGCGTCTCCAGGACAGCCCAAGAGGCGCCCAGGACAGCCCAAGATGGCTCGAAGAGCGGCCCAAGTCGGGCCCGAGACAGTCCTAGAGGCGTCCATAAACGCCCTAAACGGCCTGAGACGGCCCAACAGGCGCCCAAGACGGCCCCAAGAGGTCTCCAAAAAGGCCCAAAGGAGGCTGCCGAGCCCTTCATAGAGACGTCCAACAAGCCTCCCAGAGGCAAACATCGTCTCAATCCCAAGGGAAAACGTACAATGTTGAATTCGCTTTCCTCGTGTTCACAGACCAGAGCCCACGACGGCCAGACAGGCCCCAAAGATCGCCTCGAGACGCCCCCAAAAAGGCCTCCAGGGGGCCCCAGGACGGTGCAAGGCGGCCCCAGGACAGCCCAAGAGGCGCACAGGACGGCCCAAGATTGCTCGAAGAGCGGCCCAAGTCGACCCCGAGACAGCATTAGAGGCGTTCAGAACGCCCTAAAGGGCCTTAGACGGCCCAAGAGGCGCCCAAAACGGCCCCAAGGATACCCCAAAGATGCCTCCAAGCGGCGCGCAAGGCCCCTCGCAGGCTTCGTTGAGCATTTCTTAACGCTCTGGGGCCTCAGAGGTTTCTTGGGGGGCGTTGCCGTAGGATCTACGATTAACGATCCACGATCAATGGGATGAAGGATCGAAGGCAGGAGGAGGAGGAGGAGGAGGAGGAGGAGGAGGAGGAGGAGGAGGAGGAGGAGGAGGGTCCAGCAGCAGCAAACACCAGCGGCGAGGAGGAGGAGGAGCAGCAGCAGCAGCAGGACAGCAGCAGCAGCAGCAGCAGCACGCCTTCACATCACCAGCGCCAATCAGCATCCTCGGGGAGGAACAGCAGCAGCAGCAGCAGCAGCAGCAGCAGCACGCCTTCACATCACCAGCGCCAATCAGCATCATGCAGCAAGAAGAAACACGCAGGTAGCAACAACCAGCACCAGGCAAAAGCTTACAGCAGCGCCAAAACGCAGCAAGCAGCAGCCCGCACCAATCAATCGCAGGATGCAGCAGTAGGAAGACAACGCAGCCAGCCGCAAGTATCAGCAAGCAGCGCTTGGCAACATTAAGTGTTGGTAACAGGCACCGAGCGGATGAAAAAGCAATGCAGCACGCACGCACGAAGTCAGGCTACCACAACCCCCTGGGGGTGGAGGCTCTTCTTCAAAACTATATACCTCGACACTGGGGGCGGGGGGGGGATGGACCAGTCAGGGCGGAAGATGCTCAAGACGGCTCCAAGATGGCCCCAAACGGTCCAAGACGGCCCCAGGATGGCCCAACACGGCGACAAGATGGTCCAAGACAGGCCATTATCTTCCCAAGACAGCCCCAGCTGCGGGCTCACCCCCAGTCAGACTCCCACCGAAACTACATGGACAGTTGCTCCAGCGTTTTATCGGTGACCCTCCTGTGCACCGAGCGTCTGAGCGGCCCCAGTGCGGAGTCCACACCATGGCGGGCAAATTCCACGGCCGGAAGGCCGCGGGTCAGCCCTAGTCTCTACTACATTGCAGGGCCCAGTGCGTGCCAGAAGGGCGCAGGCCCCAATGCACCGAAACCGCCCCGGGCTGGCCCCGGGCCACCCCGGGCCGCCCAGGCAGGCTCCAGGACATGTCGAGAGGGCCCCCAGAAGCCCCCAAGACGGCCCTGGAGAGCCCGGGCACGCTTAAAGATGGGCCCAAGACGCCCGAGATTCGCCCCAGACGGCCCAAGAGGCGTCCAAGACGCCCGAAGAGGCCTCCCAAGAGGCCTCCCAAGAGGGCCCCGAGCGACAGAAATCGTCGATTTCTATTGTGTTTTTCGATGTTTTCGGCCTCCTCGCCTCTTCGGCTTCCCGACGCTCCAAGACGGCCCAAGAAGTCCCCCCGACCGCTCCAAGACGGCCGAAGAGGACCCCAAGAGAGCCCCAAGACGGGCCAGGAGGGCCCCAAGACGGTCCCAAGACGCCCCAGGACGGCCCCAGGACGGCCCAGGAGGCGCCCAAGACGGCCCAAGAGGTACCCAAGACGGCCCCAGGAGCGGCCCAAGACGGCCCAAGACAGCCCAAGAGGCGCCGAGGCGGGCCTCAGACGGCCCCAAGACGGCCCAAGAGGCACCCAAGACGGCCCGAGAGGGCCCTAAGAGCCCCCCCGGGAGGCCCAAAAGAAGGCCGAAGAGGCTCCGAAACGGCCCCCACGAAGCCTTCAGTGGCTTCAGAATTCCCTCCAGGAGCGGGGGAGCGGACGAGAGGCGACAGGCATATCGCAGGCAAAAACGCCCCAAGAGATCCCCAAACGGCCCCCACGAAGCCCTAAGTGGCCTCAGAATTGCTTCCAGGAGGGGGGGAGCGGACGAGAGGCCACCGGCATATCGAAGGCACAAAAGAACAATGTTGGACGCTCCGAGGGCCTCACCCGCAACCGCACCCCCCCGCGCTTGCCCAGAGACCCTCGCCACGTCGAGCTGATGTCGTGGACGGAGTCCACAGGTCTGCCCTAGTCTCTACTACATTGCAGGGCCCAGTGCGTGCCAGAATGGCGCAGGCCCCAATGCACCGAAACCGCCCCGGGCTGGCCCCGGGCCGCCCCGGGCCGCCCAGGCAGGCTCCAGGACATGTCGAGAGGGCCCCCAGAAGCCCCCAAGACGGCCCCGGAGAGCCCCGGCACGCTTAAAGATGGGCCCAAGACGCCCGAGATTCGCCCCAGGCGGCCCAAGAGGCGTCCAAGACGCCCGAAGAGGCCTCCCAAGAGGCCTCCCAAGAGGGCCCCGAGCGACAGAAATCGTCGATTTCTATTGTGTTTTTCGATGTTTTCGGCCTCCTCGCCTCGTCGGCTTCCCGACGCTCCAAGACGGCCCAAGAAGCCCCCCCGACCGCTCCAAGACGGCCGAAGAGGACCCCAAGAGAGCCCCAAGACGGGCCAGGAGGGCCCCCAGACGGTCCCAAGACGCCCCAGGACGGCCCCAGGACGGCCCAGAAGGCGCCCAAGACGGCCGAAGAGGCACCCAAGACGGCCCCAGGAGCGGCCCAAGACGGCCCAAGACAGCCCAAGAGGCGCCGAGGCGGGTTTCAGACGGCCCCAAGACGGCCCAAGAGGCACCCAAGACGGCCCGAGAGGGCCCTAAGAGCCCCCCGGGAGGCCCAAACGAAGGCCGAAGAGGCTCCGAAACGGCCCCCACAAAGCCTTCAGTGCCTTCAGAATTCCCTCCAGGAGCGGGGGAGCGGACGAGAGGCGACAGGCATATCGCAGGCAAAAACGCCCCAAGAGATCCCCAAACGGCCCCCACGAAGCCCTAAATGGAAAGCCAAGCTGGAGCCCGACGCCATCATGATTGCCTTTCGGCCCTGCAGCCGCACCCCCCCGCGCTTGCCCAGAGACCCCTCGCCACGTCGAGCTGATGTCGTGGACGGAGTCCACAGGTCTGCCCTAGTCGGCTACAACGCTGGGATCAGCGCGTGCGAGAAAGGCGGGCAGTGGCAGTGGGCGCTGGCGCTGCTCAGCGAGCTGTGGGAGACGAAGCTTGAGCCCAACGTCATCTCTTCTACGCTGCAGGGCCCCGCGCGTGCTGGAGGAGCCTGGCATCAAGGGAGCGCCGAGGCCTCCTGGGAGGCCCCTGGCATGCCCAGCGAGCCCAGAAGCCGCACCTGGAGCAGTCCCGAGAGCTCCTGCTGGCCCCGCGGCGGCTCTCTAAGACGCCCCTGGACGCACGGCCCTGGAGCTCTCGGAGGGCCCGGCGGGGTCCGAGGCCCCAGAGCGCTCTGCCGATGGGGCACCCGGAGGCTCTACGGTGGGCCCGCCGTGGGCCACCGACAGGCGAGCCTGGTGAGTTTATTCTTATATTAAACCATGTTTTGTTTTTGTTTTGGTTCGTCTGCATTTCTGCAACGCTCCGCACTTTTCGGCCCCAGATGGCTGCGCCACTGCCCTGGCTCGGCTGACGAGGGCTCCAGAGCCCCGCCAGAGCTCCAAGGAGGGGTCAGGACAAGCCCAAGATGGCCCAGGATAGGCCGGGCCAGCCTGCAAGGTGCCCCAAGACGGCCCCAGGACGGCCCACCGCCGCACCAAGATAGCCCCCACCCTCCGACAGCAGCACCTGGAGTCCCCAAGATGGGCCTCCGGAGGCGCGGGAGGGCCCCAAGGGAGCCGAAGAAGTTCCACCTCAAGTCTCCCTCCTGGTTCCTCGCTGCTCGTTCCACGCTCTCTCTCTCTCTCATTATCTCGCCTCGGCCGTTGCTCCCCACTTCTCGCCCCGTGTTCCTCGAAGCTCGCTGTGTGCCTCTCCCACATCCCCCCTCGGCTCTAAGTCTTCGCGTCTTGCACCTCGCTGCTCGATCCACTCACGAGCAGCAGGTTGCGTCAGATTGCAGGGGCAGCGAGAAGCCACACCCTGCAGCCTGAAGCAGCAACATCGAACAATAGTAGTCCGCGGTAAGCAGCGGCAGCACACAGCAGCAGCAGCAAGCAGCACCAGCAATGCTGCAGGCAGCAAACGCGGAGGCGAAGCATGAAAGCTTTCTGGCAACATCTCCGCTCTGACCCAGCCATGTCGGACAGATTGCGTGGCCAGCAAGCCATGGGCCAGCACCAGTCTCTTCTCTATGGCAGACGGAAGCGCGTGCGAAATGGGCAAGCACTGCCCCCCCCCTGGAGGGCCACTTTTTCGACACTCCTCACGAAGATCCTGGCCCCCGAGCGTCACAAATCGAGCCCTCCGCCCAGAGACGCGCCACAGTGGCCATAAGAGGCCCCAAGGAGCGTCCAAGAGGCCCCCTAGAGGCCCTCCCGTCAAGGCCCAAGAGGCTTCCAAGAGCCTCCAACAGTCCTCCGAAGCATGCCCCCAGGGGCCAAAACCCTTTTTGTTTCAATGGTTTTTGAAGGAGCTTCGCCTTCTCGCCTTCTCGGCTAGCCGACGCTCCAAGATGGCCGAAGAGACCCACAAGACCGCCCCAGGACGGCCCAACAGGCCTCCAAGCGCGTCCCCAGACGGCCCAGGGAGGCCCCACGGCCCCAGACGGCCCAAGATGGCCCGAGAGGCGCCCAAGACGGCCCCAGGGGACCCCAAGCCAGGCCCAAGAGGGGGCCAAAGAACGGGGAGGAACCCTGACACTCGGAGCCCTCTGCCCCCATACGCCCACAGAAGGCTCGAAGACCCCTCCAAGGGAACGCCAAGAGGTCCCCAGAGGCCCCCAAGAAGCTTAAAGCAAGCAAGCCCCAAGACGGCCCCCAAGAGGCCGTAAAGCTGCCTCCAAGAGGGACCCCAGACGCCTCTGAGCCATTACCCAGGCACAGGCACGGTGGCGGATGACGGGAAGCGCCCCTGGCGTGGACCGTTTATGTGTGATAAAAAAGAATAATCGGGTACGCGCTGCACTTTGAAACTGCGCTGGCGGATTTTTGAAAAATGGCCGTCTCTCTCGAGACATCCTCCAAACATCCGCCCAAGAGGGGACTCCGCATCGACGGCGTGTTCGAATCGCTCTTGGAGGGCTTTCCAACGGCCCAAGGGAGGCCCAAAAGACGCCCTGGAGAGCCCCAGGAGCGCCCAAGAGCGCCCCAAGAAGACCCCAAGAGACCCCCAAGAGCGCTCTAGGAGCCACCCAGACAGCTCACAAGAACCCCAAGACGGCTCGAAAAGGGCCAAGAAGACTCCAAGAGACTCCCGGGAGCGCCCCAGGAGGCCCAAAGCGCCGAGACGACCTAAGAAATCTCCCACAGAACCCCACGACGCGCCCAGACAGCCCAAGAAGACCCCAGAAGCCCATAAGAGGACCCAAGGGGCCTCCAAGAAGGCCCCGACAGGCCAAGAGAACCCCGCGCGGCGCCAGGAGCAACGTCTTTCTCCAATTGCCTCGTACTGTCCTCTGTCGTCGTCGTCGCCGTCGTCGTCGTCATCGCCCTCCGTATTCCTCCTCGTACTCGCCCTCGTTCTCTTCGTCCTCGTCCTTGTGCTTCTCTTCCTTCTCGTTATCCTCATGCTCCTCCTCGCTATCCTCACGTTCGCCACGTCGTCCTCGTCATCGACTCCTCGTTGTCCTCGCCTTCCTTTTCTTCTTCGCCCAATACGTCCATTAGACTACAGCGGCGCTTCCCGTTCTTGTCTGATCAGGTTTCGCCGATGGCCATGATACGTGCCAGAAGGTCCTTTGTCTTGAAATGTCCGCCAGGCTCTCCAGGCCGCCCTGTGAACCCCCAGGCCGCTCCGAGACAGCTCGGAAACGCCCACGAGAGCGCCCGGACAGACCAAGAGGGACCCAACCGAGCCCCAGGTCGGCCCCAGAGGCCTCCAAGGCAGGCCAGGAGGCTCCCACGGCGGCCCAGGAGGACCCCCAGGAGTGACCCAAGAGGCAAAAATTGGCCCCTCCCCTTCGGAGAACGTACATTTTTGATATGCTCGCTCATTTCGTCTTCACCGCGTTCAAGATGGCCATACAGGCCTTCCCACTCGCCCCAAGACGCCCCCAAAGCACTCCAGGAGGGCCCCCAAACGGCTCGAGGCGGGCTCGCGACGGCTCCAGAGACGCCCCAGACGGCCCAAGAGGCAACCAAGACAGTTCAAAGAGCGGTCAATAACGGCCCAAGACGGCCCCAAGACGGTCCGAGCTGCGCCCAAGACGGCCCCACACGACCCCAAGACGGCCCAAGAGGCACTTAAGACGGCCCAAGAGGGACCAAAGGGATTCCCGGGAGGCCGGAAAGAGGCCCCCAAACGGCCCCCAAGAGGCCCTAAGGGGCTTCCACCTTGCCTCTAAGAGAGGGTGGTCGGACGAGAGGCGAGGGCCGGACCGCATGCCCACAAGAGCTGTTTTCAACGCTCTGGGGCCCTTCCATGCTTGACTTTTGGGGAGCGGTCCAGGGCGCCTCAGAGCGCTCCGGGAGCCCTTCGGGCGCTCCAGGACCCTTGGAGGCTCCCCAGATGGCGCCATGAGGGCCCCACACGGCGCCATGAGGGCCCCAGACGGTCTTTGCACGCTCCGGGAAGCCCCCCACAGAGCGTCCACGAGGCCCCTCAAATCGGCATGACACGACCCAAGCGAGCGCCAAGGCGCTCCGAGAGGCCTCCAAAAGGCCTCACACGAGGGTCCCGAGAGGTCAAAATCGTTTGTTGTCTAGGCTTTTCCAAAGATTTCCCGCTTGCCGCCAATTCAGCTTTCGGACACTAGAAGCAGCCCTGGAAGACTTCAAGGCCACCCCAAAAGGACCCAACCCCCAGGAGGCTCCCAGGAGGGCCCCAAGACGGGCCAAGACCGCCCCAGCACGGCCCAAGGCGCGCTGAAGACGGCCCAAGACGGCTCCAAGACGGCTCCACGAGGGTACCAACACGGCCCCAGATGGGCCCAGCACGTCCCAAGGCACGCTCAATACGGCCCAAGGCGACTCCAAGACGGTCCCAGGAGGGTGCCAACACGGCCACAGATAGGCCTAGGACGGCCCAAGGAGGCGCCCAGTCGGGGCCTCAAGACGGGCCAAGATGGCAAGAGAGCCCCAGCTGGCAAAAACCGTTTATTCTCCATTGTTTATTGTTACAGCCTTTGCGTTTCCCGTCATCTCGGCGGTCGGATGCCCCAAGAGGCCCCAGAAAGTCCCAGGAAGGTCCGAGGAAACGCCCAGGAAGGCCCCAAGACGGGCCAAGACGGCCCCAGCACAACCCAAGGTGCGCTGCGACGGCTCAAGACGGCTCCAAGACAGCCCCAAGAGGGTGCCAACGCGGCCCCTGCTGGGCCCAGGACGGCCCAAGCAGGCGCACAGGAGGGGCCCAAGACGACTCGAAGGCGGACCCCTCACGGCCCCAGACGGCTCCGAGACAGCCCCAAGATAGTGCCAACAAGGATCCCGATGGGCCCAGGACGGCCTACGGACGCGCCCATGAGGGGGCCCACGACGAACCAAGACGGCCCCATCACGGCAAACGGCGCCCTCAAGACGGGCCCAGACGGCTTGAAGACGGCCCTTTGACGGAGTCAACACGGCCCCACACCCTTCGGGCGAACACTTGGGGGGGCTGGGAGCTTGCGACAAGTCTCCCACCTTCATTGTCCTGCCCCATTATGTACGCCTGGATGCCTCCTCCAACCCTGTGGGCGAACAAGAGGAAACCCAGCGGGCCGCCAACCCTGGGGCCCGTGGTCCCCGCGCCGCTTGGGCAGAAGACGAACGCCGGGTCTGACAGGCCAGCTACCGCCCCCCCCGCCCCCCTTTGCCCGATATGCTGTGCCATTCTGTTCCCCCAGGGGCCTTGGCAAACTCTTCGGGCCAACCAGACCGGACCCCTGGGACAGCAGCCAATTGATATGATCCAGGCACCACTCCGCACTCTTCGGACCACAGACCCTCTGGGCGAGCAGAATGGGACTTGAGCGAACAAACCCTCCCGTTGGCGGCGATGCGACTGGATCGCATCATCAAGGCGTGCCCAGAGGTGATGGCCGACCCAACAGCGTTTCCTGTTAAGATTTTACTGAATCTCGAATTTTCTTTTTGGGCCCTCCCTGTAGATCCTTGCGCTCCCCGGCGCTTTCGGTGATTTTCCCCGATGGCCTCCCGAGCCCTTCCCCAGGCGCTCCTGAGACGCCTCAGATGGGCTTCGACTTCGACGCACATCCCCGAGAGACTTCGAAACTGCCCTCAATAGGAGGGGGGTGAACGAGCAGCGCGCCGGGGCCAAGCTGCTGGAGCGCTGCAAGAGCTCGGACACGAAGGCGCGGTCTCGCTGCCGCCGCCCGAGCCGCCGCCGTGTTTGTAGATTTTCGGTGCAATCTGCGCCGTTCCTCCGAGAACCATTCCAGAAAGATGTCGTGGACGGAGTCCACGGGTCAGCCCTAGTCAGCTACAGATCTACGATGAGCGCGTGCAAGGAAGGCGAGCAGTGGCAGAGGGCTCTGTCGCTCTTCAGTGAAATGCGCTGGATGAGACTGCACCCGGATCGTTCCCATTACATGATCATGGCCAGCATGTGCGAGCAAGGCGGACAAAGGATGTTGGCGCAGTCGTTGGCAACAGAGGCGTGTGGCGTAGTTGAAGCGGAATAGCGTCATCAGCGACAGAAATGTGAGGCCCACTTCGGGGGTGGTGCGAGGACGGTCGGCATCGAAGGTACCGACTTTCACGACTCCGCGGAGCGGCACCCTCCCCGCCCACCCACGCGTGGGCTGGCCCGACCCACCTTCCAGGGCGCCCCTTGACGGCCCCAAGAGGTCCAAGAGAAGCCCTGGGCCCTAGAGCCTAGCACCGTCCCAGATGGCCGCCCCAATGTCCTAAGGTTCTGAAGATCGCCCGAGGGAGCTCCAAGAGGTCCACCACAGATCCCCACGAGAGCCAGACCGAACATGAGCATGAACTCGTAAGTACTTCAGCCCTCACGGTCTCTTCTCATCGGTCGTCTCCGCAAAAGCCCCAAACGGCCACCCCCAAACGGCCACCCCATACATTCCCAATAGGCCCTAAGACGGCCAAGGTGAAGGCTCTATTGACGCTTTCAAAGGCCCCCATGGAGATCATCAAGGTCTCTGATCTTTCCTCTGTTCCTCCTTTTCGCATGGTTCTTCTGCTCCTCATCTTCCCTGTGACGGGCGCATGTGCGCCCAAGACAGCTCAACGGAGTCCCGATGCCGTCCCCGAATCTCCCTTGCCTGCCCCAAAACGGTCCAAGAGAGCCCGGGCTGCCCCTGCAGAGCCGCCATACTTCTCCTTGACCGCCCCTCGGCCACCCCGCACGGTCCAACAACGCCCGGGCGGCCCGCAGAAAGTCAGGCCTGATGTCCGAGACGGCCTGGCAGGCCCAAGAGACCCCACGACGCGTGCAAAGTTGCTCCCAGGCTGCCTCCCGATGGCCCCAGCACCCGCCGAGGCGGGTCCGATGCCCCGACATGCTCTCCCCCGGATGCCCGGCGGCGGAGCCGACGACGATCCAACGAGGCTTCTGGCAGGCGAGATCACAGAAAGTCCTGGTGGCTTGACTGACGATGGCCTCTCTGCATGCCCGGCGCTGGACCGGCCCAGACGGTCCCAATCTGCCTTAGCAAAACGTCTCGATGGCTCTCACACCGTCCCAAGACCGCTGCCCAAGGGGGCCGAGCACGGCCACAGGGAGGCCCAACATGGGCCCAAAGCGGCCCCAGTTCCCTCTCTTCGAGCGCCGTTTCTTCTGCCCCCCCCCCCCCCTGCACCCATGAGTCCTGGACATCATATCCGTCTGCCTGCCATGGGTTCAATCGACGGGTCCACCCCAGTTTATCTTAGGGTACCGGGAGCAGCGCTGCGCTTGGTGCACTGCCCTTGTGGCAGCGCCCGGGGGAGGGGGGGGGGGGGGGGGCGGGCGGGAGGGCCCGCTGGGAGGGCATGCGCCTCGCAGACGGCCCAAGCGAGGCCAAGAGGGCTCCAAGTTCGCCGAGGATGCCTCCGACACAGCCGAGGACGGCCTCAAAAGGTGGCCCAAGGCAGCGCGACACGGCCTCCAGACGCCCGCAATACCTTCCAAAAGGCTCTCAGGGCGCTCCCGGAGAGCGCGGCGGCCCAGCAGCTCCCAAGATCGGCCCATAGGCCAGGCCAAGAGGCCTCCGAAGAGGACTCCAGCGCGGACGGCCCGAGACGGCCCCAGCAAGCCCGACGCGATCTCGATGCGGACTCGATGCGAATTTGGCGTGGATTCGACGCGGATTCGAATCGGATTCGACACTGATCCGACACGGATTCGACACGGATTCGACACGGATAGGGCCGCGACAGGACAGCGAAGGTCCCCCGAGGATGCAATTGTCTTGCATTGTCTTGCATTGTCTTGCATTGTCTTGCATTGTCTTGCATTGTCTTGCATTGTCTTGCATTGTCTTGCATTGTCTTGCATTGTCTTGCATTGTCTTGCATTGTCTTGCATTGTCTTGCATTGTCTTGCATTGTCTTGCATTGTCTTGCATTGTCTTGCATTGTCTTGCATTGTCTTGCATTGTCTTGCATTGTCTTGCATTGTCTTGCATTGTCTTGCATTGTCTTGCATTGTCTTGCATTGTCTTGCATTGTCTTGCATTGTCTTGCATTGTCTTGCATTGTCTTGCATTGTCTTGCATTGTCTTGCATTGTCTTGCATTGTCTTGCATTGTCTTGTCATTGTCTTGCATTGTCTTGCATTGTCTTGTCTTGCATTGTCTTGCATTGTCTTGCATTGTCTTGCATTGTCTTGCATTGTCTTGCATTGTCTTGCATTGTCTTGCATTGTCTTGCATTGTCTTGCATTGTCTTGCATTGTCTTGCATTGTCTTGCATTGTCTTGCATTGTCTTGCATTGTCTTGCATTGTCTTGCATTGTCTTGCATTGTCTTGCATTGTCTTGCATTGTCTTGCATTGTCTTGCATTGTCTTGCATTGTCTTGCATTGTCTTCTCGGCATCAGTGCCACAACGTTGACGGCAGGCAGCGCATCTCTACATAATAGTGTTTTTGCTCGAACTCGCTGAGCAAGCAAGGATACAGCCAAGGTAGCAGAGTCTTGGCCGAGCACCAAAACATCATCGCCAGAGCGTGTGTGTTGCCCATTCCCTGTTTACGGTAATTCCTTTTACACAGCACCATGTCCGGTGATGAAGCCTCAGCCGCTGCGACGAGTGAACTCCCAGGCGGGAGGACTGCAGGTGGGCGCAGACCGCTGCTAGCGCCAGCGTCTAGCCTGATGTCAGCACCGGCAGATGGGGCCCGTGGAGCCCGGAGCCAGTCCCGTTCTCCGCGGGGGGCTCTGGGCCCCGCTGACGTACAAGGGGCCCGCGCCGCCAGCTCCGACTTCGCAGCTGTGAAGAAGCTAGTGGAAGACGAGTTGAAGGGGTTCCTACCGAATGAGCTGATTAAGAGAATTCAGAAATCCACGAACGATTTGAACGCGAGAATCGCAAGTCTCCAGAAGGTGAACGAGAGGGCGACGAGCACCAAGAGCGATGTGGAAGCTTTGAGTGCTGGCCGGGTCCCTTCTGGGTGTCGACCCTTCACGTTGGCATACGAGTCGCCGTTCTTGGACACAGAGCGCGTCGTTGACCTGAGTTTCCGCCTTGACCTCTCCGGCAAGACGCTGCGGGAGGCGAAGCAAGAGGCCTACTGCGCGCACCTGGCCATTCAGAAGAAACTCGATGTGCTGCTCCTGGCCAAGCAGAGGGACGACCTGCGCAGGCTCACGAAGAGGGATTACTTCGTCGAGACATGCGCGGCCGCCCTGTCCGACCAGACGTCCAGAGTTTCAGGCCTGGACCTCGATCTGGACCTGGACAACGACGACGGCTTCCAGGTCTCCACTGCCGGCGTCGACGCCGAGCGGTTGAAGGCCAAAGCCACCGCCATCTACGCCAAGGCGGTGGCTCGAGCTTCAGACGAGAAGGCTCGCAAGCAGCAGGAGAAGGCCAAACAGGACCAGGCCCAGGAGAAGCTGATCCAGCAGATGATGGAGACGAGCCCTGCGGACCTCTTCAACATGGCCGTGGATGCTCGTGTGATCGCTCGCCAGCGCGTGCCTGGCCGAGCAGGTCCGGCAGGTGGCGGCACCATAGCCGCCCAGGCGGCATCCCTGTACACCTCCACCATGGCCGCTGGCCAGTCCTCTGTCGACCGCGCCGACGCCGTACGCCTTGCTGCCTTATCAAAAAACGGCACGTCCCCGCCCGGACAGGGCGGGGGCAAGGACAAAGGCAAAGGCAAAGGGCGAGGCGACCCGAAGGGCAAGTCCAAGGGCAACGGGAAAGCCACGCCCTCCCCCAAGGGCGAGTCAAAGGGCAAGTCCAAGGGCAAGGGCAAAGGCAAGAGCAAGGCATCCGGCAAGACGAGCGCCGGGAAGGGCGCTGGCGCACGAGGAAGCGCGAGAGGGTCTGGACGTGGCAGATCCGCCGGAGGCAGGCGGCGAGGGAGGGGGACGTGACGGTGAGGCTGGCCCGTTTGTTCCTGCAGTTCACTCGTGATCTCCCCGCCCCTGATTTCAACTCTTTGCTTTCGTGTGATGATAAACCAGTTTATTTGTTTCACCCGCGTTCGAATTGTGCGACTGTTCCTTCAGGTACCGAGCTGGCCTGGCCAGTCAGGTTTTTGCTTACGATGTTTCATCGAAAGCACGTGTTTTGCATGACACCCAAATCTTCTTTGTCTCACGTTTCTCTTGCCCTTTGGAATTGGGAGCATAAGCTTCGTTGGAGATGGTTTTTCGGATCTAACGCCGAAGACCCAACAGCTGGCGAAAGCTGGTGGCGGTTGCGATCCAAGAAAAGATATTGCAAGCCGTGTGATGTTGTATTGCCTCTGTCTCTGCAGTGCATGGTTGACGCTGTCAGGCGTGAGGTCTGGCAGGCGTGCCTTGTACAGAGCCGGCGTCGCGCTCCGCCAGTGCCCGCAGTGATTAGGCTTGCTCTCTCCCTCCTCCAAAAAACGGGCGTCGGGGCGCTCCCCACAGATAAAGATGCTGGTTTTTGTTTAATCCGCAAGGGCGATTTGCACAATCGCTACATGCATCTATTGTCTGGCCCCGCTTACCGAGTGAAGCTCGCTCCATACAGTTTTGGGGCGACAGTGGTAACTGATTTCATCGAGGCTGTTCGCGAAACGTGCAGGGTTTTAGATGACAGGGCGCTCGAGCGAGCCATGCTTTCGGACGTGGACGCGAGCCGGTGCGAAGACATCGTGTCGCGCGTTGGGGCCACCGTCAAGACGCACAAGCCTCCTGGCAAGGTGGAGTTGCGCCTCCTCCACTGTAGTGTTCGTAATCCGATGGCTCCAGCAATGCGGTGGATCTCCCACGCGTTGCTCCCTCATCTTAGGCGTGTTCCGTTTCTGGCTCGCGACACCCAGCACCTATTACAGATCATGTCGCGCACAGTCGTGCCAGCCGATTGCCACTTAGTTAAAATAGACATAAAAGAATATTTTATGTCTGGTTTGCATGCCGATCTTGTCACACACTCCTCAGCTTTTTTCGACGGCGTCCAACAAGACGCATACGCCAAGCTGCTGCGTGCGATTTTGGATTGCCAGTACGTGGCGTGCCCCACAGCGCCCGACAAGGTCTGGAAGGTCACCGTCGGCGCTGGCATGGGACTCCCTTGTAGTGGGGAGGTTGCTGACGCAGCGTATTTCAATCAAGTTGAGCGCGACAGCGTGTCTCAAGATCGTTTCTGTGAGTTGCACGGCATAGTAGCTTATATTAGGTATCGTGACGACATTATGCTGGTGCATTCGGGGTCCAGAGCACAGCTCGATGCCCTTATTGGCAGATTGCAAGAGCTGTCTACGGTGTTTAAGCTAGAAGTTGAGAGTATCGCCTCCGATGAGGTTCAGATGCTCGACGTCGTGTTTTACCGTGGGCCCCGCTGGCGCTCCACGGGCATCATGGATCACCGCATTCATATCAAGCGGTCGTCTTTGTGGATCCCCCTCAGCGATCGCAGCATGCATCCCGCCGGCGTGCACCGAGCATGGCCGCTCGCACACGCGCTCCGCGTGCGCCGTTTGTGTTCGGAGCGGCAGCACGCCGACAGTGAGATCAAGAAGTTTTGTAGCATTTTGCGTCAGCATTCCTCACACATCGCACTATTACCACGAATCTTGGGGGTGCGGCCCCCCATTGTTCGCCTCCCTGGCTCGACTGTCCATGAGCAACAGCCTTTGACTCGTATTGTAATGCCGTACTGCAGCCAGTGGCAGGCTGCAGGCGTGCAGCGTGTAGTAAATCGCGCTGTGAAGCCATGGCGCTCTCAACACGGAGGCTTCTCCGCCATAGGCATCGCATGGAGTTTGGGCGACAAGCATCTTGTCCAGATTGTCAAGTCGTATAACAGCTCTCTCGAAGAAGGGGGCTGCGGCTTGCGCATTTTATGCACTGCGACTCGATAGTGGTTGGTTGGTTGGGGCTGGTTGGTGGACGCATTGTCTTGCATTGTCTTCTCGGCATCAGTGCCACAACGTTGTCGGCAGGCAGCGCATCTCTACATAATAGTGTTTTTGCTCGAACTCGCTGAGCAAGCAAGGATACAGCCAAGGTAGCAGAGTCTTGGCCGAGCACCAAAACATCATCGCCAGAGCGTGTGTGTTGCCCATTCCCCCTTAGCAAAACGTCTCGATGGCTCTCACACCGTCCCAAGACCGCTGCCCAAGGGGGCCGAGCACGGCCACAGGGAGGCCCAACATGGGCCCAAAGCGGCCCCAGTTCCCTCTCTTCGAGCGCCGTTTCTTCTGCCCCCCCCCCCCCCCTGCACCCATGAGTCCTGGACATCATATCCGTCTGCCTGCCATGGGTTCAATCGACGGGTCCACCCCAGTTTATCTTAGGGTACCGGGAGCAGCGCTGCGCTTGGTGCACTGCCCTTGTGGCAGCGCCCGGGGGAGGGGGGGGGGGGGGGGCGGGCGGGAGGGCCCGCTGGGAGGGCATGCGCCTCGCAGACGGCCCAAGCGAGGCCAAGAGGGCTCCAAGTTCGCCGAGGATGCCTCCGACACAGCCGAGGACGGCCTCAAAAGGTGGCCCAAGGCAGCGCGACACGGCCTCCAGACGCCCGCAATACCTTCCAAAAGGCTCCCAGGGCGCTCCCGGAGAGCGCGGCGGCCCAGCAGCTCCCAAGATCGGCCCATATGCCAGGCCAAGAGGCCTCCGAAGAGGACTCCAGCGCGGACGGCCCGAGACGGCCCCAGCAAGCCCGACGCGATCTCGATGCGGACTCGATGCGAATTTGGCGTAGATTCGACGCGGATTCGAATCGGATTCGACACTGATCCGACACGGATTCGACACGGATTCGACACGGATAGGGCCGCGACAGGACAGCGAAGGTCCCCCGAGGATGCAACATAAAGAGCTCCAAAACGTCCCAAGGGAAGCGCATGGCCGCCTAAGATGGCTCCAAGGAGTCCTCATAGATTTCAAGCGCAGCCCAAGATCGCCCCAGTGGGACCCAAGACGGACGCTCCCAGACGCCTCCAAGAGAGCCCTTGAGAGCGCCTTCTGGAGCAAACACGATCTTCTGTTTGGGTCCTGTTCAAATGGATGCCGCATGCTCGCTTTTTCTTCTGGCCTCGAGACGCCGAGGAAGGCCGAGTCAGCCCTGGATATCGGCCCAAGACGGGCTGCAAGACGGCCCTACGGGGCTCCAAGACGGTCCAAGAGGCCAGCATGGCCCTATGGCGGTCCCGAGGCGGCCCAGAAGCGCACCCAGGTGGCCCCAAGGCACCCTGGAACGCTCCCAAGAAGGCCCCAACAGACCCACAAGAGGACCACAAGAGACGCCCCGCGAGGCCTCCCGTCACGAGGCCCCAAGAGACCTCCAAGAGGTCCCTCTGTCTCTCTCAGCTTCTCCCTCCTCGGCTCTCCCTCCTCCCTCCTTCTCGCTCTTCGACGAGCGCTGCTTGCTTCTTCCCCCTCCTTGATCTTCTCGATCCTCACTCCTCGATCCCCTTCTAGCAGCAGGTTGCGACAGCAAACTCAAGCAGCGAGAAACAACACCCTGGAGCTTCCGGCAGCAGCAGCAGCAGCAGCGAACGGCAGCAGCACGCAACACGATGCAGGCAGCAGCAGCGGCGGCACATAACGCCAGCAAGCAGGAGCAGACAGCGGGCACCAGCACGCATGCACAACTTGCCATCAGCACCCTGCAGCCACAAGCAGCAACACGCAGCAGCGGAACGCATCACCAGCAGCACGCAGCAGCGGCAGCAGGCCGCAGCAGGCAGTGCAGTCAGGGCGCTGAAGAAGGAACCCTTTTCTTTGGGGAGGGACTCCGTGTTCCTTAATTGTTTCGCAGCTTGCCTTAGGTTTTCCTTAGGTTTTCGATATGAAATCGAAGTTTAACTTATGGAAAATAGGGGCCTCGTTCCTTATTTAGGGTTCCTTAGGTCAACGCCCCGACTGCAGCAAGCGCGGAATGCCAGGGTCGAGCCCCGCGTGATCATGTCAGCCTTTCGGCAGCACGCCTGCGCTCACATGGCAGCTCGCGCAGATTTCGTGGGCGTGCTCCACGGGCCTGCCTGAGTCAGCTACAATTGAAGGGGCCCTGAGCCACAAAAATGAATACACACAAATAAAATAATTCCTCATAGTTTCCCATAATTTCTGGGTTGTTGTCTTCCCCCCCACTTCCCATATGTTCCCATATTTTCTGGGGGATCGACGATTAATTGTCTGTGTGTGTTTCCCTCCTGAACAATGCTTCGACCAGCGCGTGCCAGAAAGTCGAGCAGTGGCAGAAGGACCTGTCTCTGCTAAGCCACAGCCGCTGGACGAAGTTGTGCCAGCAGTTGTCCGTTGTTGGGGTTGTGGCCAGCATGTGCGAGCACGTTGGACAGAGGAAGCTGGTGCATTCGTTGAATAAGGATGTGTGCGGCGTGACTGCATCATAATAGTTTAAGTTAGTATTGCAATGCCAGGCCCGTGTGCGTGTGATGGAGGCGAAGCTGGAGCCCGATGTCATAGCTACAGTGCTGCTTGGGTCCCCGCTTTCGAGAAGTGCAAGCTATGGCAGCGGGCTGTGTCATTGCTCAGTGAGACGTGTGAGGCAAATCTGGAGTTCAACGGCATCGTTGACAACTCGTGAACGAGCGCATGCGAGAAAGCGCGGGCAGCGGCAGTGGGCCCTGCCGCTGCTCGGCATGATGAGAGGGAGGCGGTCGTTGATCAGGGCGTAGCCAGCTACTGGCCTGAGGCCTCCGCCCTGCTGCGTAGAGGTGAGACCACTGGCGTCTCGGCGTCAACGCAAATGCCATGGCGTGCGAGAAAGGTTGGCCGTGGCAGCGGACCCTCTGGTTGCTCGGCGAAGCGTGTGGCGCGAGATGGTGCCGCCTGTGCCGTTCCTATTGTTATGATGTTGGGATCAACGTGCGCGAAGCGTGCCAGAAATGGGCTGTTCAACGAGATGCGGGTGGCAAGGCTGGAGCTAAACGCCACCGCCAGTGTCAATGCCGTCGCCAGCACGTGTGGGAAGGCGGGGCAAAGGTCGGAATACCTATCGACATTCAGGAAAAGAGACGGATTACAGTCGCACCATCGATACGCATTGGCAGGGTGTGCAGTGGTTGGACGCGTTGTCTCTGCCTGGAAGCGCTGTCCTTGGCTTAAAATCGCGCACGTGATGCTGGATACGGGCTTCATCGGCTACACTGCGATCCTCGGCGCGAGCGAGAATAATGACAATCAGCTGCGCGCCCTGTCAGTTCCAGCGTGTGTGAGACGGGCGAACCATTGCCAGAGGCGTTGTCGTGCTCAGGGAGATGGTGTCAGCGAAGCTGGAGAAAAGGCGCCGCAATCGACAGTGCTGGCACCAGCTTCCTGGCATAATGAGGATGGGCGGGAGCAGCGCAGCAGCTCTGTACATTTGCACACGAGCTTGCTGACCCTGCCTCCGAGCCCGTGGTGATGGTCGAGCCTAGGGCAGCAGCCTTGCATACGCGCAAGACCTGCTGACTCTGCGTCTGACCCTATGGCAGATTCTACCTCTTGTGTTCGGCCAAAAGTGGGTAGCCAGCGTCCCCAGCATCGCTTGCGCTGTGGGCTCGCCCACGCGCGCGCGCCCGCGCGTGTGTGTGTGTGTGTGTGTGTGTGCCTGTGTGTGTGCGTGCGTGCGTGCGTGCGTGCGTGCGTGCGTGCGTGCGTGCGTGCGTGTGTGTGTGTGTGTGTGTGTGTGCGTGTGTGTGTGTGTGTGTGTGTGCGTGTACGTGCGTGTGTATGTGTGTGCGTGCGTGCGTGCGTGCATGCGTGCGTGCGGGTGCGTGTGTGCGTGTGTGCGTGTGTGCGTGTGTGTATGTATGTATGTATGTGTGTGTGTGGGTGTGTGTGTGTGTGTGTGCGTGCGTGCGTGCGTGCGTGCGTGCGTGCGCGCGCGCGTCGAGGGTGTTGAGCCACGGGCATACAACCAATTGCGGTCTCTGGAAAGGATGACTGGCAGTTGCCCTTCGTCTGCTGGGAACAGCCCGCGAGAATCGTGGGACTTGAGGCGGCGAGCCGGCCGACAAGAGTCCGATGGTCGCACGGCGTTGTGGATCCTGGCGCAGACGGCATGATTCGATTCAGACTCCGAGCCGATGCAGCCCAATGTGTTGACTGCTCCGATCCCATCAGGCATTGCGATTCGATTCTGACTGTTCCTGCCAGGGGAGTCGGCGTTCGTGCCCCAGCTGCTGTGTTTGCGGGCCTCGACCAGAAGGGTTCCGTCGCAATGGGCCGTTTGGGTCGTGATCGAGGTGTCGGCGAGAGAGTTCTGCCCAGTTCCCAGCTGGAGCGCTGCAAGAGAAGCGTCGGCTGCGGGGCTTCGAGAGGCTGACTGATTTTCTTCGGCTGAAGGCCGCCGAATGTGGGAGCAAGTGAAAGTTCGCCACCTCAGTTTTGGAGGAGTTCGGGTTTCTGGAGTGGTACACCTTGACGGGGGATGCAGGTGCAAGCCACACCGCACCAGGCTCACGATCCCTCGAGCAGATGTGTCCGAAGTCGGCTGTCAAACTGGGCTTCGATCTTTAGTGGGGCGCTGCGTTCCTAGATCCGTTGCGTGTCGCATGGAAGACGATGGGGCCGAGTTGGGAGAGCAGCGAGAGAGGAGAGGATGACGGAGGGAGCAAGGTAAATCGGCACAGATGAAGAGGAGGGAGCGGGGCAGATGAGGGAGAGGGAGACGGAGAGAGCGGAGAGAAGGGGAGGGAAGGAACGGGTAGCGGAAAAAAGGGGAGGGGGGCAGGGATTGTACGATATGGGCTGGTGGGTGAAGAGACCGTTGTTGATTCGCATGTTTGCGGTTCGAAGGAGGTGAGCATGGATTTTGGAGCGAGTCATGTAGGAGTGCACGACAGGAGAGAAACGACCGTAGCAGCATATGTTCTATTTTCTGTGCGAAGCTATAAGACATTTTCCGACCAGACTTCGAGTTGGCACTGGAAGACATCAAGCCCGCCTTCGGGCAGCGCGAGGACCGCTTCATGTCACGCGCTTGCGCTCTTACACCCCCAGAGGTACTGACTGTGCGACTTGGATGCGCTGGAAAGTGTGCCCTAGCATCTCGACTACGCCCTTTCAAACTTCGGCTGTGTTCAAAACACGAGAGGCGGCTGGCGCGAGAACGGGTTGGGGCCAAACGGTGAAGGAAGCTCTCATCCCGTCTCGTGGTGACCCGCAAAAGTCTAAGTTGTCCCGTGGCGTCCCGTGGGTTGTCCCGTGGTTGACCCGTGTGTTGTCCCACATGCGTTTCCACATTGTAGACTTCACAGTGAGGGTGCGCGAATTGACTGGTTGGGCCTGCGGTAGCCATGTGGTCATCATATGTATATACATACATATATATATATAGATATGAACGTTTGCACATGGCGCATGAATCTACACATGTATATGTAAGTATGTCTGGATACACGGTTGTGGATGAGCAGGCTTACGCGCGATGGCAGGTTCGAAGGAGTCGGGCTAATCGGATGTGTTAGACGATTTCGTATGTACGATCGGGCTGCCAGGTTTGACATGTTGCCAGGGATGGGCGCGTAAGCATATTGCAATGCCGACGCGATGCCAATCGGACAACGAACATTGCACGCGAAGGGTGGTTTTACAGGAATTTCACGAAGCACTGTGCGTCTGAACATGGTGATCACGTGCCGAACATGATTTCGATATGACACTGGTTCGGTCACTTCTTTGGTCACGTTATTCGAGAACTGTGGCGCTCGGCGAGAGTAGTAGTGAGCCTCCCTACCCCGCTTGTGTTCGCATTTGTCTCAGTCGTATGAGTCATCACTGCCATGTTATCGCGGTGCACCTGCCCGAGGATGAGTTCGATATGTGCATCATGCGTGGCATCACTTCCTTCTCGTCTCAGTTCGAGAAGCTGATGGAATCGGCTATGGGGCTCATTGCCCAGGCTCGCCTGCACGGTTCGCAAGGATAGTGTGTGCTTGCTCGTGAAGAAGACATAATGGTTTCCATTTTGGGCCCCAAACAGGGAGTGATCGCACCCTATAAGAACCGAGAGCAGGGTGGCCTATAGATTTGCAGTCCCGCCTACTCTCCTCGAAGGCGCCTCTCGGCTTGGCGCCTCCCTCCCGCCCGTGTGGAGGACATGCCGAGCAGGAGAGAGTTCAACACAGGGTGCAAGGTTCGGGTCGAACGAAGGAGGGGGTAATGAAAAGGGGGTTGTCCGAAATCTACCGCGTGCAGCTGGTTTCGGCCCCGCCGCCGGACTCGGCACATTTCTCGGGGCTCAAGAGGCGGGGGTCAATGCAAACGGGGCTCAGCCAGAGCGCCCGCTCTTGCAGGATCCTGCAGGGCCAGGGTCGCGCTGACCCAGGCCTGGGTGCAGGATCCGGCAGGATCTTGGAGGATCCTCCGCGTTGGCCCGGGCTTGGGTGCAGGATCTTGCAAGATCTTTCAGGGTTTTGTATGGCCTGACTGACCCGGGTCTGGATTGACCCAGGACAGAAGATCTTCGAATTTGTCGCCACCTGCGCCGAGAAGCGCCAGGAATAATCAGTTACGTTGGCTGATTCGTTGACCTCCCCCTTTGCACCCCCGCCCTTTCGTCCGACCCGGAGACAGGGTCCAGGGAGTCTGGGGGAAATTCGGTTGTGAGGTCTGGATGCGTTCAAAAAAATAGTATTGGAGATAGGGATCCAACATGCTGCAAGACATGCTTCACATGCTATTGAACAACATCAGCGCAAGAAGGAAAACGGAGGGGATGACTCAGGGACGGAGGAAAGCATCGAATTTTGGTACGAGCGCGAGTGAAATTGTTCATCGTTCCACCTCGCGATATTCAGAATGGACGAGAGAAGTTCGCATTTCGCCGCTATTAAAGGTCGGCCAAAATTCAATTCTCCCAGTTCGGCTGCGGGGCCCCGGTATGTTGTCAACGGAGGACATTGAGAAAAGGGTACAATGTTGACAGGGTGCGTCTCGGTGCTCAGTGTAGCGGAGGCATTTTCATGCAGCTTGAATTTCGGACCTGGGAGGTCCGACTCCGGTCGAACACTTCTCTTAGAAGAAGTATTTGGCGGAATCGCCATTCCGACTCCGGGCCGACGGGCTTACATCAGGTCGAAATCATTTGTTCAAGGAAGTCCCAAGCGAAAACCATACCGTCGACTTTTGAAATTCTAAACGGCTTGCCCAAGACAACATGACGATTCGCCTTGATAAGTCATAGGGTAAACGATGCCGGCCGAAGTCTATATTTTTGGCTTCGGCATACCATTCAGAAAAGTAAGAATGGCGATTCCGCCAGGGAAGTCCTCCAAATGTCAATTCGAAGCCTTGCAGGTTCGAAGTCGACGCGGGGGCGTCTTTCTGCTCGCAGGTTCCTGCGCTCCATGGCGTACTGGTCCCTGCCCACCATTGAAATCTCTTGGTGACGCCATGATATGGGTCAAAACTCTCGTGGCTGCGATGTAGTACCAGAGCTGTCCCAGCTGAGGCGGCACAAGCACACACTGGTATTCT